TGAAATATTTATTGTCTTTCAAAATAAGAAATACAGAGGTCAACTTACCAAGTGACTTGTTTGAGCAGAAGAACTGCTCAAGTTGCTGATACTGGTGCTTGTTTTTTGACTTTCTGGCTGTTCAGTCCCCAATGAAATGTTGTTTGTAGGTGGTGATGTCTGGTGTATACAATCAGTTATTAATTTTGATGTGTGTAATATTTGTTGGTTTTAAACAAGAAATATAAATCACCTTACCAAATATATTGGTGGCACAGAATTTCTTGAATCACTCAAACTGGAGTTTGTAAACAAATTATCTCCATTTGTTGTTCCTGATGAAATGCTGTCATTTGAAGGTGGTGACGTCTAGGTCATAAAAGATCGAAGTAAGTTTTCATGTTTGAAACAATAATTGTATTTGAAGAAAAACAATTTCAGATATCATCCTACCAAATAACTTGTTTGAGGATCAGTTCTGCTTGACCTGCTGAATGTAGGACTAGGAGACAAACCGTTTTGGTCTGTAGTTTCTGATGAAGTAAAGTTTTTTGTCCTTTTTGAACCCTGGTTCATAAAAGAGTATGCTTACATTTGATTTGTGAAGTCTTAATAGTCTTTCAAAAATAACAGTTACAGAGATTATTATACCTCATTACTTGTTCCAGAATCAGAACTGATTGAGGTGCTGAAATTCTGGGTTGTAATCAAAGTTTCTTGGTCTCTTGCACCTGATGAAGTTCTTTCATTTGTAGGTTGTGATGTCTAGTTCATAAAAGATTGTTACAGTTAATGTGTGAAATATTAGTTGTCAACAAAACAACATGAAATATATAGAAATGACCTTACCAAAAATCTAGTCTGAGAAACAGAACTGCTCAAGTTGCTGAAATTTGAAGTTGTAAACAAAGTATTTTGGCTTGAACTCCCCGATGAAGTGATGTTGTTTGTACGATCGGAAGCCTGGTTCATAAATAATCAACTTCAGACATCAAAATACTTCAGTTTTGATGTCTATCAGAAATAAAAATTACAGAGATCAAAATACCTTACTACTTGTTGGAGACAGATAATTGCTGGAGGTGCTGATATTTTGGGTTGTAAAACTTTTTTGGTCTGTTGCACCTGTTGAAGTGATTTCATTTGTAGGTGGCGACGTCTACTTCAGAATAAATTGTTTCAGTTTTTCCACTTGTGAAACATTAGTTATCTATGAAACATGAAATGTACGGATCTTGCCTCACCAAATAACTTGTTTGAGGCAAAGAACTGTTGGAACTGTTGAAAGTTGGACTTGTAGAGAAACCACTCTGGTCTATATTCCCTGATGAAGTGATGTTGTTTGTACTTTCTGAAGCCTAGTTCACAATAGATTGTATTTCTATATTTCAGAAATATTAGTTGTGAACCACACAAGAAAAATACGGAAATCACCTTACCGAATGACCTGTTTGAGGACCAGAACTGCTAGAGCTACTGAAAGTCGGGCTTGTAGGCAAACCATTGTGGTCTGAAGTCCCTGATGAAGTGATGTTTTCTGACATTTTTGAAGCCTGGTTCATAAAAGAGTATGTTTACATTTGATTTGTGAAGTATTAATAGACTTTCCAAATAACAGTTTCATAGATTGTTATACCTCACTACTTGTTTGAGAATCTGAACTGCTGGAGGTCCTGAATTTTGGGGTTGTAAACAAAGTTTCTTGGACTTGTGCACCTGATGAAGTGCTTTCATTTGTAGGTTGTGACGTCTAGTTCAAACAAGATTGCTTACATGTTTAATGTGAAACATTAATCGTCCAGCAAACATGAAAAGTTCAAACATGATCTTACCGAGTAACTTATTTGAGAAACTGATCTGCTTGATGAACTTAAATTCAATGTTGTTAGCAAAATGTCAATGCCTGTTGTTCTTGGAACAGTGCTGTTGCTTGTACTGTTGGGAGCCTAGTTCATCAAAGATCATAGTTATTATTCAGTTTGTGAAATATTTATTGTCTTTCAAAATAAGAAATACAGAGGTCAACTTACCAAGTGACTTGTTTGAGCAGAAGAACTGCTCAAGTTGCTGATACTGG